TTTTGATCTTTGTACAAAGCTATGAATTTGGACCGTTTTATAGCAGTAATCTCGAAGGTCAAATTATCTTAGCTAACAATATTAATGTTGCTGATAATGATGACATTTTACTGTCCTTTTCAGGCTCTAAAAGATCTATACACACATCTGACTCCTATACAAAGAGTGAATATTGCAAGGCATCCTAACAGGCCAACTTTCCTTGATCATATCTTTAATATTACTGAGAAGGTCAAGTAAATTCATTGTCTTTATTTCTTACCAATAAACATAAAAACTGCACTCTCTGTCTGTTCTCCTTTCCATAGGTAATATACTGTTGGAAATTTCTAACAATTTAAAATCGTAATTCCCAAACTTGCAGTTTGTGGAGCTTCATGGTGACCGAGCTGGGTATGACGATCCTGCCATTGTCACTGGACTTGGCACAATAAATGGTAGAAGCTATATGTTCATGGGTCATCAAAAAGGACGAAACACAAAGGAGAACATACAACGTAACTTTGGGATGCCTACTCCCCATGGGTATGTGTGGTTCCATTATGTTTAAGCTTGGAATATTTTTGTATGGAGTTAGATCCACCCCGTTTAAGTATGTGAGCCTACAATAGTAAGAAAAAAATACTTGTTAAACAGTTATAGGAAGGCTCTGCGGATGATGTACTATGCTGATCATCACGGATTCCCGATCATCACTTTCATTGACACACCAGGGGCATATGCTGATCTCAAATCAGAGGAACTAGGCCAAGTATGTACACAACTGTGCTGTAGCATGCTTTTTCCTCATCGATTAGTGCTAACTGAATAGTTTATATTGCTTGCATGCAGGGAGAAGCCATAGCTCATAACTTGAGGACTATGTTTGGTTTGAAAGTACCAATTATTTCTATTGTTATGGGAGAAGGGGGTTCTGGTGGAGCTCTGGCTATTGGTTGTGCTAATAAATTGTTGATGCTTGAAAATGCCGTCTTCTATGTTGCCAGGTGCCTCTAAAACTGTTGATTTTTACTAGGAACAAATTAGTGTTATATGATGTGTATACTGCTTGTAGACTAAATACGTGGTGAATGGCCATCATCCTGTCCTTTATAATCATAAACTCTCAAGAAACTATCCTATCAGTTTTATAGTTTCAGCTTCTCAGCTGCCCAAGCCCTGGTGGACAATATTACCCAGTATCTGTGTTGGTGTGAGGTAGGTGGGAAGTAGCAGGTACCCAGAGGAATAGTCGAGGTGTGCACAAGTTGGCTCAGACACCATCGTTGTGAAGCTAGTATCTATAAAACACCAGATAACCAATACTTAAAAGTTAAAAAACATAATCTCTGTTGGTTTCTGGTAATGCTGAACCATTGAATCTGTATTCCTCATGTTCTTAATTTTGGTGGACGACACAACCCTATTTCAAATCAATAAGCTCCGTGGAAAAACTAACCTGGGAGGGCAATCTTCTTTCTGGCAATATGACTATTAAAAAGGCAATATAGTTGGTGAATATCTTGTTGTCTATGTTGCTCAGACTCTTTAAAAATGTCAAGGGGTGTGTGTCGGATTCACTAAAAGTAGTGTATTTTTGGAGAATCCGACACGGGTGCGGCATCGAAAGTGAAGAGTCCGCGCAACTTAGCTTGTTGTAATCCACCCTTGATTCTTAAATCAGATTGTTTTGGTACTTTAAATTTGTTATTTTTGATTTACCTGGTCAGATCCACTTTTCTGTATACAGTTCTTGACTGTCATAGTAAATAGTAATGTATGCTTACCAATTTCAAATCTCACTTCACAGCCCAGAAGCATGTGCAGCAATTTTATGGAAGACCGCAAAAGCTTCTCCCAAGGTTGCTATAGTTAAACATTAGAAGTGTTAATCAAGAAAAGCTGTGAAAAATATTGCTGACTATATGCTTCATTTCATTTCAGGCAGCTGAGAAACTCAAGATAACTGCTCAAGAGCTGTCCAGACTTCAAATTGCCGATGGTTCCATCCCTGTAATATTACTTCATTGCTGTATCTGCCTATTTGATCATTCTCATTCTTCTTCATTATTTATGTATTTTTCCATTTAATTATCAAATTTAAAAGTCAAAGAGAAAAAGTCATCTGCGAGTTGCTTTCAATTTCTAACCCTTGCAATCTCCTGGGAAAGTCATAATCCTTTTTTTTTCTTTTGAATTACCATATTGCTTATTATTTACCTTGGAATCCCATTCCCTGACAGTAGGTAATTTTGGGCAAATATGTGTCATCTGGGACAGAGAGTGATTCACTTTTGTCTATGGTAAATAATGCTTTATCTCGTGTTGCAGGAGCCTCTTGGTGGTGCACATGCTGATCCGTATTGGACTTCACAGCAGATAAAAATTGCAATTGAAGAATCAATGGATGTAAGTATATCAAAATCTCTATTTCCTGAACTTGTACTTCAGCTAAGTTGCTAAAAACACAATCCATCCTTGTAGGAACTTACGAAAATGGACACCCAAGAGTTGTTAAGGCACAGGATGCTTAAGTTCCGAAAACTTGGTGGCTTCCAGGAGGGAGTTCCCATTGACCCAAAAAGGAAGGTCAACATGAAAAAGAAAGAAGAACCTCTTCTTCCACCTGGAATTCCGGATGTGGAGTTAATGGATGAGGTTGAAAAATTGAAGCAAGAGATCCAGAAAGCAAAGGAATCAACTGGGAAGATTCCAGACACAGGCCTGAATGAGATGATAGAAAAATTAAGAAGAGAAATTGATTTTGAATTTTCTGAGGCTGCTAAAGCTTTAGGTTTGGAGGAAAAACTTGTCATGGCACGAGAAGAATTTGCAAAAACAAGGAACTCAAACGACCAGTCAATGCATCCTGTTCTGAAGGAAAAGCTTGACCAGATTAAGGACGAATTCAACAGAAACATTTCTGCTGCTCCAAATCATGCTAGCCTAACGAATAAGCTTGAGATGTTGCAAGAAATGTCTAAAGCCCAGAAACTCTCAGAGAAAAATAGCAAGGTAAACAAATTGAAGGAGGAGATCAATAAGAGGTTAAAAGAAGTCATGAACCGCCCAGATTTGAAGGAGAAGATGGACGCATTGAAGGCTGAAATCAAGAGTACTGGTGTATCGAGAGTTATGGATCTAGACCAGGGGATAAAAGAGAAACTTGTGCAACTGAAGGATGAAATGGATATGGAATTTTCTGGTGTTTTCGAATCTCTAGGCTTGAACGTCAACCCAGCATCATTGCCTGATGCCAAGAGAAGAATTGATGAATTTAACAATGAAATTACAACGGTTATGGAAGACCTCGTGAACTCCACCGATTTGAAAAACAAGATTGAGTTGTTAAAGATGGAGGCAGCGAAGGCTGGAAAGACAGCAGATGCTGAGTCAAAGGCAAAAATTCAGGCCTTAGAACAGCAAATAAAGCAAAGTCTTGCACAGGCTATGAGTTTTCCAGAGTTAAAGGAGAAACACGAGAAGCTGAAGGAAGAGGTTGTGGAAATCGTTGAATCCCTTGAAGGATCCAATGGAAGTTTGCTAGCAGATAACGGTGGTGCCAATTCAGGAGTAGGAGTTAATGTAGATGCAAACCGTAGCTTTGCCTGATGTGAGTTAGTACAATTTCTCCTCATTTCTTGATTTGTTTCAGTATTTCTACATGATTGGATAACCCTTAAGACTCTTTGCAGTTCAACCATGATGCAGGTTAGCTACTAGCTTTTGCAAATGATAAATCTGTGAAACTACTCCAGCATGCAGACGATGGAGCCTTTTTCTTCGCGGTGCACTCAATTTGCAATTCCTTTCTCAGACTAGGCTCTGCTACAATTTTTCTGGGTTTTGTTTTGTGTTTCTTTAGAATAATTAACATTTGTTTTAAGAGTTTTAAGTTAGAGTGAACTGTTACTTTAATGAACATTGTTTAGCAGCGAAATACTGTATAAATTATGTGTCTGAAGAGAAGGTTTAGAACATGCTGCAACATACCTACTGCTTGAGTTCTCATAAATGTTATCTTTGATACACTACATTTCTTTTTTCCAAATATTTTAACATATCAAAGGAGAAAAACATTGACTATGTGCAAAATACTATCCTGGAGTTCAAAATATGTACATGTTAAACTCCTATAACAATGTTTTTTCTATGGTTCATCTACTTCAGTGTACTTTTCGTAGTACACAAAATGCAAAAGTTTGTATGAATTTTATAAGGTTTACTTAGGCGTCGATTAATATCGAATGAATGTGAAGAGATTAGTCTTTTTCCTAAACATTGGTTATGTTTAATGTGTGGGAAACTAAAACCCACTAGTATAATTTGTCCCATTATTCATCTGTTAATTTTTTTATTTTTTTTTAAGTAGAGCCAAAATCACCAATTGTTCAATTCATCACATCCATGCTTGAAGCAATGAAGTATCTGGGAAATAAGCTCAAGGAAGTGGTTTTCCCTTTACTACAAAGTACGGGTCACGGGGATAGAAGAACCACTCATGATCGAAGCAACATAGGAGTGCACATGTTCGCAACTAGATTCTTCTCTTACTAAAAAGAGAAGCGCCTAAGATTCTGAAGCAAAGGCGGTGGTCCTGAGCCTCTATATGACTATATAACCTCAGTGTGGTTGCATGTCACGTTGGTGTAGGCACATCATAGCATCATGATAGCGTTAGCTATGCTAGACTCAAAGTAGCATAGCTCTAGTACCAAGCCCCTATACTCAAAGTAGCATAGCTCTAGTAGCAAGCCCCTATACTCAAAGTAGTATAGCTCTAGTAGCAAGCCCCTATACTCAAAGTAGCAAGCCCCTATACAATAGCTATACTCAAGTGAGACTCAAATCGACTTTCTACATCAAGCTAACTTTGTGCAAGCAGCCGCACTAATACCGAGGGTTTAGAATGCAAGCGTTATCCGAAATAATTAGACTTAACAAAGATTTAGAACTCTAACTCTAATTAAAGGGAAATCACATATAGTCCATAAATAATAAGTAACCACCATTAATAGAAACCATTACATTGCATAATCAAAATCAAAACTCAATACAAAAATGGTATAACAGCTTTTCTTTTCCTAGGATAATCTTCTCCAAATTTCTGCAAATACCATTCATGATTAAACCTAGCTCTAGGAGCTAAATTAGCAAAAGTATACAGAAAAAACCCAAACCCGGCCCAAGACCCAGTCATCAAAGCCCAGCCCAACCACTCCACTATCTCCCCCAAATAATTTGGACAGCTCACATATTCAAAAAGCCCACCTTTCGGTATCTTATATCCACCTCCTTCACTCTTCAGGCCCACTAACACCTCATCGGCCCAAACATTCACCGCCATCCCACCGGCAAAAACCACCATCCCGCCGGCAAATCGGACCCAAAACCACTCATCAGAATCATACTCAGCATAGTGAGAAACCCATCTAGCTTGTACATAAGCATTCAACAGATTAAACACAAAAGCCAAAAACGCAATACTCACGGGAAAACCACTCGCCGGCGACCCACCCTTTGAGTTGAAGTAGAGTTTTAAAGGGTAAAATATTGTCCGATTTGTGTAGTGGAAAAGGTAAGGAGAAATGAGGATATATGATAATGGATTGTTGTGATTTTTGCCGAAGGGGAAGAGGATAAGTGTGAGCCATAAAGTAGGGCTTTCCATTAGAAACCAAGCTAAAGGTGGTGAAATGGTGGGTCCCCAACCGGAGCGGCGGTGTTTTCCATAAGGGGCGGTGAGGAATTGACAGGCGAGGAAGGTGGGTGGTCCGATGAGGAAGAGAGAGAGGAGGCTGTAGTGATACAGATCTTGATCTGAGAACATTGTGAATGTCATCTGCGAATTTCGAATTTGGATTTATTTGTCATTTCTTAGTTCAAAATAGTGCTTTATAGAGATGGTAACTAAGGTTTTGTATTCATCCGTTTTAATTTGTTTGTCCATAATTTAAGAAAATAATGAATATTTACCTGAAATTGTAAAAAGTAATGAATTTTTGAATCTTTATGATATTAAATTAAAGACATGAGATATGCCAAATATTTTTACCAAATTAGACATGTAATTTTTTGATATAGGTAACTACTTGTTCAATTTTTTCATAAATTAAGTGTATAATTATACAGATCCAAAGTTAGAAGGCAAAGATATGATTGAGACCAAATTAAATGGTACATTTATGTATTATGCCTTTGTTTTATAACCAAAACAGAAATTTAATAATTCATATTTCACTTACAAAGTTTACTCAACTAATTTGAACATTTTTTTATTATTAGTCCCACTAATAGTATGTTTTAGAGCAACACTAACCGCGGCTAATATCTATGTTTTAGTGACAACTCTAGTCGCTGCGAATACATATAATAGTCGCCACTAATAGAATGTTTTAGTGCCAACAAAAGTCGCCGCCAATACTAATAAAAGTCGCCACTAATAGTATGCTTAGTGGCAACACTAGCCGCCTCCAATACCTATAATAGTTGCCACTAGTATGTTTTAGGGCAACAAAAGTCGCCGCGAATACATATAATATACGCCACTAATAGTTGTTTTAGTGGCAACAAAAGTCATCGCCAATAAATAATATAGTCGCCACTAATAATATCTTTTAGTGCAAAAGTCGCCGCCAATACCTAAAGTAGTCGCCACTAATAGTATCTTTTAGTGACAACAATAGTCGCCGCGAATACATATAATATTCGTCACTAATAGTATGTTTTAGTGGCAACAAAGTCGCCGCGAATACATATAACAGTCGCCACTAATAGTTAGTTTTAGTGGCAACAAAAGTCGCCGCCAATACATAATATAGTCGCCACTAATAATATCTTTTAGTGGCAACAAAAGTCGCCGCCAATACCTAAAGTAGTCGCCACTAATAGTATCTTTTTGTGACAACTCTAGTCGCCGCGAATACATATAATATTTGCCACTAATAGTTGTTTTAGTGGCAACAGAAGTCGCCGCCAATACCTATAATAGTCGCCACTAATAGTATGTTTTAGTAGCAACAAAAGTCGCCGCGAATACATATAACAGTCGCCACTAATAATATCTTATAGTGACAACACTAGTCGCCGCCAATACCTAAAAGTCGCCACTAATAATATATTTTAGTGACATCTCTACTCGCCGCCAATATCTATAAATGTCGCCACTAATAATATGTTTTAGTGACATCTCTAGTCGCCGCGAATACATATAATAGTCGCCACTTATAGTATATTTTAGTGACAACACTAGTCGCCGCCAATATATATAGAAGTCGCCACTAATTGTGTGTTTTTAGTGGCAACCTTAGTTGCCGCCAATACCTATAATAGTTGCCACTAATAATATGTTTTAGTGGCAACACTAGTTGCCGCGAATACCTATAATAGTTGCCACTTATTAGTACGTTTTAATGGCAACATTAGTCGCCATTAAATGTTGAATCAATCAATAATACGATATTTATTTTAATTATTTTATTGAACCTTTCAATTACCACTTAGGAGTGGATGTTGTCCTAGCAATTTTAAAATACATTTTCTTATTGGGAATGACATACTTTAGGTATTTTGAGAAGTCTAATGTAAATAATCTCTCAATCTCACAAAGATAACAATAAAATCTACGTACATTCTACTTTATATCCTATTCGTTACCTTACACTGAATATGTTGTTTGCATACTTTTGGTAGCATCCAACATGCTTGTTTAGGAATCATGTTCCATAGAACTATCTATCTATAATGTATTATGTTTTCCATACATAACAAGTACTCCACAGTGGAAAACAACAACTCAAACAGAAACATTAGTCTATAAGCAAAAAATCATACTAAAAAGTAAAAAGGCTATCTTTATATGATACAAAATTTCCTATGTTCTTCATGTTGATGCTAACTTTCTTCATCACCCTCGTGTTCATGTCATACACATATAAATTCGAGTTCTTGTGCTTAAGAATCAACACTTCACCATTTCTAACTCCAGCAACTGGAACAAGTTTCCCAATATCTGGCATTGATATCTCGTATTTACTTGACGATTTCACATTCTTTGGACATAATCCATCAACTAGAACAAGTCTCCCAATATCTGGCATTGATGTCTCGTATTTACTCGATGATTTCACATTATTTGGAGATATATACTTTATCGACTTTGCCATGATACTATGTTTCTTGTACCAACATTCCTCTTCCAAATTCCAGACATCCATTCTTGTATCGGAATCATAATAGACAATAGAAAGAAATCCACCCAACTCCACCAATTCATATCTGGCCCTTTGAATCAATTCTTCAGGTAAATTAGTTCTACTGAGTTTCGCCTCGTTTACTTGCATTGAAATGATATACTCACTTGAATCAACATACCAATGCAGAATACGCCCGTTGATTGACACTGGATTCTTCCAACGAAAATTGAGTGGATTAAATGGCCTCTCAGATACATCATCTGCATCTGCCCACGGACCAGGAATTCGTTTCCAATGTGATTCATCATTAGCACCATTCAAATTGAATATTTCGAAACCATAGGAATCTGTAACAACGTGCACCACTTTAAACTGCTTCGTCCACGAGTCAAATCCAATTGTGGAACTACAACCATAATCTTTATGATGGCAACCTGAAGGGCATTTTGGAATAGTAATGCAAATCTTTGTCGTTGGATTTATTACTTGTAGCTCCTTATCGTCCCCGGGGTTGTTTATCAGTAGAAATCCATCACAACTAGATCGAACCTGACCTAATTGATTGATTCCAAGATCACACGATTCACATTCAAGATCTTTTCCAATCTCTAACAGCTTTGTTTTCATATGCCTTGCTGATGATGCTGCCTGTATCAGTAGAAACTCTGTTTTTGATTCCGCGAAATTTAGCTCAGCGAAGGATCTCTGTGAGAACATTTCTTTCCATGATTTGCAAACAGGCATGAAATTCTTGTAAATGTATCGCGCTGGAATCCTTATTAGGAATTGAAATACAATACTTTCTGGAAAAATTGACATATTACTACATGTTTGATTGTTCTTTACTTGTTTCATTCCTCTGCTTTTCTCTTCGACTTTCTTGTTATCTCTCTTTAATCTCAGCATATGTCGCGCGAATTCAATGTCATCAATTTCATCCCCCATTGTAGCTCACGTACAACATCGAGCTCTTTATATGTTTCTGAAGAAAAATCAAACATTGTAATCATCAAAACCATACAACAACAACAACAACAAGTGAAATACCCCTACCTCGTGGAGGTAAGAAGATTGTTTCTTGAGGAAACTTGACTCGAGTATAACATAAAGGAAAAACAACAACTGAGAAACACAACATCTAATAAGGAAACAGCAACAACCACAAAATAATGTGATAATCTAAACACAATCAATAACAAGTGATGGTGGAATCAAAACTATGACACTAAAAGAAAATGGCTAAACCCTCGAACCCATGTCTACTAACCTTCAACCTTATTACTGATAGTACCCTCCTATCTAAGGTCATGTCTTCAATAATCTGGATGTGCCACATATCCGATCTAATCACCTCTCCCCAATATGATACACATTATGAAACTATGTGTAAATTAAACAACTATCCAAACAAGATGTCATAATAATGTAACGTTTCATAAAATATCAAGCTATACCTCTTACAATTTCTTATTTATTATTATAGGGATCGAAATAACATATCACAATATTTTATTCTATCCCTTCCACCTTCCAGAATGGGATGAATATTATACTGTTGAATTATTATATCAAAAAATCACTTTTGTAAAATAATAATAATTAAGAAGTAGGGTTTCTGAGATAATAACTATAAGGGAAATCAACCGGATGGATTACCAGGTTATTTAATTTATGCATCAACGCTATAACTATAAGACTTAAACATTGATAAAAATTAGATCATAAAAGTTTTAATCGCACAGAAAACAAAACTCTTACTAATACATAAATAATTACTTAGCAAATAATAAAAAGGTGCATAAAATTGTAATATAAGAAAACGTACAATTTGATGTGGTCTGGTGTTGTTGTTAAAGAAAGAAAACCTGAGAACTTTAATTTTTTCGAGAATAATGTGATAAACCTATTTGATTTGGTATTTATAGAAAGTTTTTTTCTCTGAAAATAAAAAGACCTTCCTTGACCTTGTGTGATTAAGTAGTCCACTAACATATTTAAATTTGGTATATAATTAGATATTGTTTTAATTTAAATATAACATATTTTAATGTTATTAGGTAATTTTATATTTTTATATCATTAAATACCTCATAGTAACATTAAAGGATCATATGATATTTTTAACAATTTTGCAACCATTTAACATACGAACATATATACCAACTATGTAACCATAACCATTTTTCTCTCTTTCTCTCTTCAATTCCGTCCTTTTTTCATTCTCTTATTTTTTTGGAAAAAAGATTTCTCTCTCTCTTCAATTCCGTCCTTTTCTCTCTCTCTTATTTTTTGAAAAAATATTTCTCTCCTCCTCTCTTTCTCTTTAATTCCGTTTCAATTCTTTTGGACAAATCTCTTTTTACTTTTCTCTTCGACTTGATATATTTTAGTTAAAAAAAATTTAATATTGGTGTCTATTTTTTTTAATCATAACGAATAACTTACCCCAAAATGTAATCAAATTTCATACATATTTTAAACTATTACACTTAAAACATTGTTTTATCGTTTTATATTTAAAAGTTGAGTATATTAAGTGGTGTCCAATGTGGGTTAAGTTTGCTGTACAATTGTTTAATTTTTAACCACAATGAATAACTTACCCTAAAAAAATAATCAAATTTCACACCAATTAAAAATCACACGTTGTAAAATTGATTTTGTTATATGTTCCAACTA